AACGTATCTCATTCTAACATGTTTCCTCTTTATTAAAGCTTTGTTAGAGATCGAAATAGAAATGAAAAAAGCAAAGAGACAGATTACTGGAATGTTTTTTGTTAGCTTTTATTGGTCAGATACTTGTCACATGTATAAACACACTAGGTAATATATAAATATGTGTGAGGAACTTTTTGGACATTAACATTTATAACAGTGTAAGAATATGTATCTAGAGAAACGCTTGTGTGTCTAGGTGTATGAAGACAGTGATGTTAATTCATCTAAGTGTATAAGTGTGTGTATGAGGAATGTCATCCTCATTTATTTTAGTGAAAATGTGGCGAGATTTTGCAATAATTTTGTATTTGATTGGATTTTGATCTTCTTGTGTATGTGCATTGGGGGAATGTCTGTTATTTTATTTTATCTTGTCGGATTCCCATCCATATCTCATCTACATTTTATCTTCAACTTTCTTCAAATCTTCAACTCTTCTGATTTTTACCGGTACCCAGAGATTTCTTTCCATTAACAGAAGTCAAACTATGTTTTAATTCAAATGTGCAAAATCAAGTGTGATTACAATGGATGTAAAAGAACACTTCAACCAAACTGTATCGCATGTCTGTAAAAAGACGCGTTGTCCTGATGGAAGACGACGACCTTCTTATTCGGAATTTCCGGCGCCTTTTTATTGATTACTGTCTTTATATCTTTTTATTGCCTGTTATCGTTAGTTTAAAAATCGTGTCGTTTTAGTTGAGTTCGGCCAGAGAATCGCAAAATGGATACGCAGTCTAAATATTTAAAAGTTTTCAAGTAATACTAAACATCGCAGAGATTCACGAATACAAGTATTTTTTAAAATTTGAAATATGTTTGCGATTTTCCATATAGTTTTTAACGAGCATATCAATTTTAAACGTTTCATTATATTTATAAGCACTCTCGGCTTAATTCGCTGCAGTTTATTTATTAATTTTAATGGCCGTATTTTTTTTTATATATCTCTGTAAATAGTAATTATTAGCTGGTGAAATGAAACTTGATAGGAAGTGGTAAAAACGGAAAATATAATTACTTTCTAAGTATCCGATGAAGGGGTGTCCACTGAAAAATGAAAAAAAGAAAAATATCACCCGTAAACGGCTTAAATAGATTTCGCACCGTTGCGATTGGCTGTTGGTCATTCTCCAATCAAATGTGTGATAACGGGGTATATTTATAGAAGTCAGTGTCTACAAGCATTTTTTAGAGGGCGTTTCAGAGTCTGATCAGCTCTGAGGGGGTCGATTTGGTGAGGTCAGTATGATGTTTGAAAGACCCGAAACTGCCCAATGATCCATTTCCAGAACATCACTGACGACGCCCTCTAGCGCTAAAAGGGCGTATATTCAAAGCAGTAACGAGCATTTCAATTTGGCTATCATATAAGACTACAGGCCTGTTTGAACCTTCTCCGTTTTCCAGATCAAAATTTCCACTAAAGAAGCACTTATTCTCCATGAATGGAATATATTTTTTCCTGTGTACAGAGCTTTTTATCTTTCCGGAATTTAAAGGATGTGACGTGTTAAAAATGATTCTCATTTTTATTCATTTTCACTCCGATCACTATGATCAAATGAGGTTTATTTATCAACATAGTACGGCTTGAGCTCCACGCACTTCTTTCATTGCTGTTGCAGTGCTTGGATCCCATTAGTGAACAATTTTTCATCCACTTGGTCTAAAAGTTCATCAACAGCATATATGGCGTCATCATCAACAACAGATATGACATCATCGTCAACAGCAGATATAACGTCATCATCAACAGCAGATATGACGTCATCATCACAGTGATACTGGTTCCCAGCCAAGTAATTTTTTTTTATGTTGGGGAACATGTTATAATAATATGGGATTAAGTCTGGGGAAAAGTGAGGTTGATCAACCAATCCAAATCCACAGTCGCTCACATTAACCATTGAAACCAAGGACTAGAGGATCTAACTAATAACTAACTAGCGTCTAATTAGTAGTCATTTACTAAGAAGTAGTAGTATTAGTCGACACCCGCTCGAATTCGAGCATCGGAATCGCCATCTCTCCTTATTCACTTTTACTTTCCACTTATTCACTTTCTCCTCTCTGGTGGCGATGACGGAGATGGCTTTCATGGCCCAGCTTACTTCTGAAGAGTAGTCAAAACGAGTCTGAATTTGATTTTGGTTGACAACTCTGCTCGACGGAAAAAAAGCCCGCGCACTTGGCCAGAAGCGCGCCCTCTCTCACGTATCAAAGAGAATTGAGACAGGCGTGATCTAGCAAACCTGGTTGCATCGAGCTGTCGGATGCTTGTTATCTCAAGGTCCTTCTTGGTTACGACAGCTTGGTTCGATGTGCTCGTTGAGTTCTAGATCTTTACCTATTCCGTCTGTGGTTCTTCGGGGTTTGGTCGCATTAAGTTTGGTCCCTACTCGTCGACCTTACCACCATTGCTTCGTATTTTGAAAACCCCAGATGTTTTCGCTCTCGAGATCACTGGAAAAAACAAGCCTTCTACCATGACAAAGAACGACCATATATATGTTAGACTGGAGTATGACTTAATTATGTCACAATATCACAAATATTAATGATTTTCGAACCCATTACTTAATAGTCTACAAGACATGGCTGATAATCACTATTCTATACTGGGTTAGGATAGGCAACTAGAGATTTATCAAATTAAGTTTAATCTGTCATACAGGTGGAACATTTAAAAAAACATACGTAATAAACTAGGTAATTAATCTGTTATGTCTTCAGTTCTGGAACCCTAAATGTATAAATAATTTCACTTTATAAAAAGCGAGTATAAATAAAGCAGATATTTTGGCAACTATTTCGCTTATATGGTCACTTATACACACGTTTTCAATTTACTCTAGAATCAATATGTAAAAGAGGATCTCGTCTATATCTAAACATGCAAGTATACGCCAGACCTGTAACACTTTCTTGGGAGGTCTTATATAGAAGTCGTATTCTGTGTTCAATTGAATGGGTAATCTGATATAATGATTCTGAAAGAAGACAGCATGGAATTTAGCTGCCCAGTCTTCACTTTACAGTTTCGATAGAGTCCAAAAGCGTCTCAACGTACTTGTGAGTGGCAAATTATTTTCCAGCTTTCAACCCTTTCTCACAGACGAACGTCACAAGCCTCTCATTGCTCTATTGCTATTTCTCTGAAACGGGCTCAAATAAACTACATTCCTTTCTTCGACCAGTTCCAATATTCCTTACCTTCGTATTCGATTGGTTAGATGTAAGTTCCGCTCGAGCAGATTCTTCTCACAAACCGCTGTATTTGTGGAACTGACTCCCAAGATGATGCTTCCCCGATCAATACAATCTTATTCTGCCCAAGTCTACGGTCAAACGTCATCTTCCCACACATCCGCATAAACTGTGACTCTTACTCTGTAACCATTTTATCTCAACTGATTCTCGAGAATTTTACAGTTTGAACATCATTGTCAAAAATTAAAATTAAAATCAAGTAAAATAATCGTGAGGATTTTTTTGAAGAATGGTATGAAGTGCACTTACTTCTTTTTATTATCTTTTGAATAAAAATATTTGACTTATAAACTTTGTTTCTGGGGATGACGATAAATTACATCCGGCAGCAAGACCTCTGATCGGGAGATTGGAGGTTTTCACTAGCGTGAAACCACCTCTTAATTGGTGCAGCTCCCAGGTCCACCTTGACACGAGGTCGTAGAACCTGTTAGAGTCCCAGCTATAGGAAAATAGTGAACCCTCAAATAAAAAAGCAAAATACTATGAATGTATAGAAATACATTTTTATCATAAAAATACCAGAATTATTTATATTACAAGGTCACCTACACCAATTGAAAGTAAAATTACCAACAATACAATTTTAAAGCAAAACAACCAGCAATACAATTTTATAGAAAAATCACTAACAATAAATTTTATTTATAGTTGAAGGAAAATAAATGCGTTCAAAATATTTAGATTTTGGCATTAAATAATCCATAGAGGTTGATATGCCGCTAAACAAAATTAAACACGCTTAGAAACTTTGTCTTGCAGACAAATTAGCGCAGTGATATTGATTCGGAATCAATGCAACACACTTGTGAATTTTTCAAGACAGTATCAGCAAATGACACATCAATGGAGAGACTCATCTCCACCTCAAATTGTTACCCATAGATTTGGCATGTGTAGGGATACCTCGAATACCATGGACTGAGATTGTGAGTAACCAGGAAGTTTTAAAGGAAATTGTAAAAAAGCAGGCATATACTTAGATTCAGAAAGTGACATTTGAAATCTCTGGTAAACCTAATGCGGAAAGATGCTTTAGAGAATGCGACACTCACAGGCCATACGGAAGATGGCAGGCGGAAACAGCGTGTAACCTACCTAGCGAACTTTTGAAAATGAATGGCAGAATGCTAGTAAAAAAAACAGTACTGCTAACAGTTACGAAAGACAGGAAATTCTGGAGAGCCATCATCACTTGCCTCCTGAAGGGAGACAGTACGTGTAAGAAAGAATTATCTACTATAATCCTGAGCTGACTGCGTATTTCATACTATTAAAATCACTATAAAATACTTTATTTTTCGATGAAAGCTGCGCTGCTTTCATCAAAAATTAACATTTAACACTTAGGATATTAACGCTACACAATCTTCATAAACCCACATTGTTTGCCTTGGGTCGTACTAAGCTATACTTGAAAAATACCGATAGCTACATTTTTATTTTATTATCAACTCTAGAATTAACTACCACAGACGATAACCACAAGCATTTTATCTTTTTTGTCTTTTTCTTTTTATAGTTTGGACTTGGTCTTTTCCCTTGCAATCCTTCAAACATCTTTAAGAGTGGCTGGCATATTGTCGATAGCAATCCGGAAAAAGGAAACGTGCCCGACTGTTTGCGGTGGTCCTTTTGTCAATTCTATCGTTATCAAGACATGATTGATGAGGTTGAACGGTTCAAGTCGCTCTGCCTTGCTGGTAAGGAGTCGGAGGATGTGAGCTGGCGTTCAAGTGAGAAATAAACTTTCGAATGTCATAAAAAGCAGTTAAGTGGGAGGAGACAGCAATGAATGTGCCCAATAACCAGCAAAGAAGACAAGAAACTGGTGCATAACACATTAGAATATGGTTTGAAATTCTGAGTTGGAATAACCATGTTACTCCAGGATTTATTGGGGCTATTATATTGGTTGTTGCATTTACTATTTCGATCAGCATGTTAGTCGTTCACCTTTACAGCTTATAATCCTGAAAGGAAAATTTGTCGCTTTTCCTTGATTCATTCAGATGAGAATTTACTTTGTTTAACACAATGTTTCTTCAATGCCTTTTCGGTTTCCTAGTTTACTGAAAAGAAATGCCATTTTTATTATTATTATTATTATTATTTTCTTTAATTTCTGGCGTTTACACATTTCTTTCCGGGTCTCTCCCAGGGACCTAAGGTTAGAAATGGCATCATGACACTTTCCACTGACAAAACAAAAAATTACATAGATAAAGCCCTTCGTAAAGTGTGGGCTGTACTTGTTAGAACAATTTTTTGTATCTGTTTGAGGCATGGACTCCCAGGAATCCCTTCAATTAGTCTACTGCAATCTTTTCCAACCAGTCCTAGGGCTCCAACTACAACAGGGATTGTTGATGTTCCCATATGCCAAATTTTCGAGATTTCTATTTCAAGGTCCTTGTATTTTGACAGCTTTTTGAATATCTTCAAAGATACATTGCAGTCAGCAGGGACTGTCATATCAATAAGTAGGCTCTTTTTTTTTGTTTGTGCTCTTTAATAACAATGTCTGGGCGGTTGGCTGTGATTGTTCTGTCAGTGCGTATCGTGTAGTCCCATAGAATTGTAACAGGTCCTATCTCCGTAACCGGGTCTGGGTGGAGGTCATACCATTTTCTTTCAGTTTCCTTCCCGTAGAATTTGCAAATTTTCCAGTGCAGATATTGGCCCACTCTGTCATGCCGGGTTTTATATTCAGAGGGTGCCAATATCGTGCAACCTGATGCATGATGATCAATCGTTTTTGGATATTTATCACAGAATCTGCATTTTGGGCTAACACAATATTTTAGTCTATGTGCTTGATAATGCCTATTTAACAAGCATCATTATTATTATTATTGTTGTTGTTGTTGTTATTAATATTATTGTTATTTATTTATTTATTTTCATGTTCTCGCAAGATCTCTAATAGTCATCACTGAAGACACAGTAGCAGCAGATCTCGCAGAATTTCCAGTATCTTCTTCAGTATCAACGTAGATTTCAGAAAGCACCGTGACCTGTATATTCTCAATTACACGAATCTTGATTGAAGGGCCATATTATTGGGTTTCTGGGGTTTTTTTTTTTTTGTTTTTTTTTGTTTTGTTTTGTTTTGTTTTTTTGTTTTTTTTGGTGGGTAGGTGTATGACTATAATTTTTCACATTTTTTTTTATTCTTCTCAACTGCCAAGCAGGGTTCGGACATTTTTTATAAAGACTCACTAACCTTTATATTCACTGAGTCGTACTCTTGGAGACATCGATGTGGTCCAATGGTTAGCAAGCTTCTCTAGCAAGATCAATTATGACTAAATAATGAGTTCGAACTTATGGCACATTTCAGCTATGCATTGAAAGCCACTAATGTGTGATCCGCCATCACAGTCATGTCGATGATCTGCCTGGGGCTGATTTTGTTTAATGCTTATCGGTATAGAACTTTCTGGTTAAATGTAGTGATGATCGGGCGTGTCAAAATCAAAACACACACTGTGATTATTATTATTATTATTATTATTATTTGGGCAATTTTTCAGTCGAGGTGTTATCTGGTTTTCATGTAGTATATGCGCATTAAGTATGCACTAACAAGACAGGCCACCCACACACAAGTGCCTGCATACACACACACACATATATATATATATATATATATATATATATATATATATATATATATATATATATATATATATATAGATATATACATACTTGACATACACACACACACATGCACACATCATGCACACGAACACACAACATATATATATATATATATATATATATATATATATATATATAGTGGACAATGAGGTCAACACCAAGTGGCAACAATATGTTTCATACTTCACCGCAATCTTCACAGCCCGAAGATTGCGTTGAAGTACGAAACAGGCTGTCGCCACTTGGTGTAAATCTCATTGTCCACCTTTATATTTATATGTTTCTATCTTTGATACTGACCACTTCTTTTTATCCATAAATATAACATAACTTAAAACTATATTTTTATTATATTCATTGTATTATATCATATATATATATATATATATATATATATATATATATATATATATATATATATATATATATATATATATATATAGCCGTCTGCATTCCCTTTGCTCTAATACCATTATTAAAGGCATGGATCTGTTTCTTCTCTCTACCAGCTAAGCTTTGATTATCAGACTTGGATCTCTTGTAGCCAATTGAGGAAAAAGTCATGTCTGAATTCAGAACTCCAGAGAAAGCAATGGAAATTCACAGATAATAAAAGAAAGGAAGTTATGGAGAATCGTGATCGCTTAAGTTCTGAAGGGATATGGAAAATAAAATGTTACCATTATCTCAGTAAGCACCACATTAATCATCGTCAACATTATGTCACATATATATTACTAATATAGATAGTCATCAATTTTATAAAGCATATTTATGAAGTTGTATACAGTCACAATTTCTATCATTTTTTATTTTTTATCTTATCATTATGAACGCACTAAAATAAAGTTTATAGTAATTAGAAATACTGTCAGATTGTAAAGTTCCATTGCTTTATTCAAAGTTAGCAAATATCGACATCGGAAAGTCCAACGAGAAATTTACAGATTTAATAGGGTAATTGTGGTACAACCCTACGTTGCATCACGATAAAACACACCGGGACAACAGTTGCTTCTCAGAAAAAAATGTTTGTTCAATTCCTACCGAGAGGTATTTTTGCTAGAATATGACTTTCCAAAATCAAAACCGTTAGATGTTAATTTCACTGTTATATACAATCTCTACTCAAACACATGTACCAAATTAAATAACGTTTATAGTAATAAGATAGAAAGTAACAAAACCCACTACTAAAGATCGATCCCTTCGGTCGTAAAGGTTTGCAAGACTAACTAACTTTACTGGCATTCCTATGAGAAATGGTTATAATTTCAAAAACCAATAACGTTTCATTTTTAAGATTCGATAAGAATAAGGTCTACCAATTCCACCGTAAAGTCTTTAGAAATAAGAAAACCATTTTGAATAACTTTCGTCAAGTATTCTTTGAAACTATATCGTTATTTTTTTTAATTTTTACCTTATGTGAATATTTCTTCCATGAAATTTAATACAGGTTAATGGGTCTTTATTTTGAATCAAAAAAAATCCCAGGTTTGAATATATTTGCCATTAAATTTCAAATATTTTTTTTGATTTATTCTTGAAATAGTAAAAAGGTTTATAAGCAAAAACGTGCGAAAATTATGTATTTCGCTATTTCTTTTTCAGACGATATTTAAACATAAATTCACAAAAATTGCTTAAAACTATTAATCTTATATTTGGTGGCAGTACTTATCATATTAAACTTCAACTTTTACATTGAGTGCAATATTGATTTTATAAAAAAAAGTTAAACACCAACCTTCACTATTACACATGATTTAAAATGATCACATGTCTGATCTTTTTTTAAGTTGGCATCGCTTAAAAATAGGAATTATCTTGCTGATTCTTACAACTATAACAATCCTCTTCTGAACGGTGAATTAGTGGCCAGGTTTTATCTAAACCCGTTCAGAGACAATGCTTTTTCTGTTAAGGAGGGTAGTTAGACAAAGATCAAACCTGTCAAAGAGCAGATGAACTTCCTTGATTGTTCAACGGTCATCTAAAACAATGGTGTAGATTGGGATACATAGTTATACATGCATCTGGTCCGATGATGGCAATAGAATTTTACCTTAACTGAATCCAGGGCGGAGTACTTCCCAGTCAATTTTCCACGACCATATCAGTCTATCAAGTTTGAGGACATAAACTTTGCTTTGACCTAACGATGTTCATAGCTATCAGCCTCCTCTACTCCTGGTCGGTCGGTTGGGAAATCAAACGCTTAAAAGAAAGAAAGAAATATTTAGTTATCAAATTGCTGGCAGATCGATGAAAAATGTTCTATTTTTTCTTTGAAGGTCGATACTTTAAAAAAAACGTCCCTCATAAAAGATTCGACAGATATTAAAACTGACCAGATAGAAGTAGAAGCTGAAATCAACTGCATTACCAAGAACAAAGTATAATAAAAAAATTAATTAATAGAGAAATTAAAACATTTACATCAGATAAACTGAAGCAGGACAGAACAAAAAAATACATCACGAGGAAAAGTAAAATATTATTTATAATCAATTTAATTGAATAGGTAAAAATCCCTAGAGCTCAAACTTACCCACACGTTAGAAGCCAATCTAATTGGTCAAATGTCTCATCTCTTGGCTTACAAAGAGGAATTATATTTCATATTTTTCTAGTCATAAACGCTCTCGACATCCGTCTGGTGGGTTGGAAGTTAATTTTTTTTTCTTAATCTCTTCCCAAACCATTCATTTTTGGTGAGGAAGGTACATACACAAACAGCATTATTAAAAACAAGACCTATAGAAAAGCAGAGTCAACGATCATCGAGCACAGTAGCGTAGATTGGGATTCATAGTTATGCATGCAAGTATTTTGTTGATGACGGTGCATCTCTGGTTGGAAAGCTTACTACGCTAAGCCAGAGCGTAGTGTTTCCCCGAGGAAATCAAAAGCCAAGTGTCCATGATCAAGCTGAACCTTCTAGTTTTAGGATATCAGCTCTGCTTTGACCTAGAGATGGATAGGCCCCACCAGATCTACATGTTCAACACACTCTGGCTTTCAAATTAGATATGTGGAGGGAAACTAATCAGATACTCAGCTTGACAGCTACCCTACGACCACACTGGGTCATGGGATTGATAACGAAGATTATGAAGACGCACCAGGCGTAATACATTGCAACATCAAAATTCAAGACGCACAAATTTTTGTAAAGATCGTTTTTCTTATGCTACTCAAGAATTAATTCAATTTATTTTTTTCACACGAAGCAAGACGACATTGTCACTAGAACGTAGTGAGTAGTGTTTACAGAGAATGAAAGAGAAAGTGAAAGTGAAAGTGAAAGACAAGACTGAGAATAGGGAGTATTTAGGAAAGGACAAAAGATGAACTGGATTCAAGGAGACAGAAGATTTCGATTTAAAGTTGCATTTAAACTTCTGAAGGTTGTAGTTATCACGGAAACAGACAGAACAGAGCTCCACTTGTTGGAAGTGCGAGAAAAGAAACTGTTGAAGAGGCGGTTGTATCTATCTAGTTCAACAGTAAACCGGTGAGACCTTGTTACCAATTTAGTAGAACGCTTAAATTCATGTAGTCGGAGCATCAAGAAAAAAAAGCTCATCTTAGCAGTTGTCATGAACATATTTGTGAGAAAGTTACTGAAATCGACACGCCTGGTCAAGATCGATTACATTACAGACTCTTCTTTGGATTTCGTCAAGAATCTCGAGATGTATGCTAAGAACACCAGACCAGATATGACAGTAGTACTCAATGCAGAAATGAATTTATAAATGAGTAAGATGGATTCTGACGTGAAAAAATTATGTACGGATTTTCTTTGCAGTAAATGAAGCAAAGATTAATCGAATCCACGAGACATTAAATCTTGTGCCAACCCGACTATTTGCATCGTCATCTTCACCTGTCTCATAATGGCTGCCATGTAGATTAGTAGTGTCCATTAAATGACACGACGTTTAAAATAAACAACTCAGATTTCTTAATCCACCTGCAGATTTGAATATTCTTTTGTATCTCCTTCACTAAAATCTTTCTATATTTTATCATCTGTATTCTAAGAGAAGTCTATTTTGATAGATAGGTTGCCGTAGAACGGTGTCTACTCCAGCAAAATATTCACTTTGATCCACATTGGGTGACCCACATTTGTGTTTCTGTACAAGACTAAGATAAGCTTAGTAATTATCTATTTCAGGGAACAAACTGGTTAATTAAATTCACAGTAACACTGATGGTCGAAATGATCAGCTTTAATTTGTTACGAAGATAGAATCATTCTCTTTGTCTCTTTGCCAAAATAATTAATTACTGCCTTAAAACTCCGCAAATGAAAAGGTCAGTATGTCGGTCGTCATGTGCTGAAAATGGTCTATCATAGCCTGGCATAAAATTGAAATTTCTCTAAAAATTAATCTCTCACTCTCTCTTCCCTCCTCTGTGTGTGTGTGTGTGTGTGCGCGCGTGTGTGTGTGCGTGTTCCATCACCTATATTTCTTCCTCTCTCAATCTCTCTCTGTTTTACCCCAGACGAAGTGCTGTTAAATCTCTCTGACTCAAGCAACAACGCTTCCCCAAAATTTATTATTTGGTCAGAATTTGAGAATATGGTCAAACCAATATTTTTTTTATTACTCCGTCGTAGATAGATAGATAGATAGATAGATAGATAGATAGATAGATAGATAGATAGATCCAGATTTAGATAGACAGAATTGACAAGTGGTGTGTTAAATTTTTTAAGGCTCTTCTCTTTTCGGATAACTGGTCTAATATCAGACGTAATCTTTTAACGGAACTTTCCAAAATTGTGATACGTTCAGTTATTTTAATTTGTAGTTTCAATGATAAAAGGTAGAAATTCGAGAAAGAGTCAATATAACGTTTAGCAGGTTAAAGTTTCAAGTGAAGAAGAGTTCATGTTTTATGATTAAGAAATACAATTTAGTGTTACCTGGCAAAAATAACTATTGCATTTTAAAGCATTTACATAGTTTTTTTAATCAATGCATGTTGTAAATTCGATCTAATTGTTTCTAAGTAAAAATGGCACTTACGATTATGCTATTGTTCTTAATCAAATGCAAAAATAAGAACACATTTTGGCATGTTCATGTTCTGACCTCCAGGCACGTCTAGTGTCAAATAACTTTACTAGGACTTCATCGTTTGTGCGAAGCACTTGACGATATCCTCTCTAATTGGCTAATGTCTGAAATCGTCACAACTTAAATTCACATTACTCTTCGTTATTTTCGACTGCTACATGGTCGAAACTTCTGGACAGCTACTTCGAAATAGACGAGACAAGTTTCTGGATATCCAAATGCTTACACGTTTTTTGTTGTTGTTGTTGTTTTTTGTTTGTTTTGGGTTTTTTTTTTTGCTTTTTTTGTTGCTTTGTTTATTCGTTAAATATTGTCATTCATCCACAGTCTCATTTTTATTGCTAATGTTGTTATTTCTTTCCTTTGCAGAAGACTGACATTCCAAAGTGTACATAGATAGATAGATAGATAGATAGATAGATAGATAGATAGATAGATAGATATTTGGTATCATTTTTGTGAGAAGTACAAATACAGTATAGCATGAAGAATATATTTTCTACACCTGATTTATAGAAAGAGACTAAGATAGATAGATAGATAGATAGATAGATAGATAGATAGATAGATAGATAGATAGATAGATAGATAGATAGATAGATTTTTAAAGTCGTATCTCTTCAGAAAGCAGGTGATCAGGTCTCTACAGTTTATTTGTGAATTATCTCAAGTAACTTCCCTTTGCTTGCTCTGAATTTGTGCCTTTTCCAATGTCATTTGTGTAGAGGTGAACGAAATAGAGTAGTAAGTGATTCGTACTCGGCTAAACGACCCTATCCTCTGCAAAGATAGATAGATAGATAGATAGATAGATAGATAGATAGATAGATAGATAGATAGATAGATAGATAGATAGATTACGTTGTGTCTTTTATTCATATGAAGAGATATTCATGGCTTTGAAAATCAAATCGAGATAATTAGCGCCAATAGTAAAATTCACAACTGCATAAGCCACAAAGTATGTCCATTGATAAACAAATAAACACCTTATCTGAACTGATGTATGCTATTAACATCTCTTCGTTCTATTAAATAAAACGCGCCTCGTTGGGTGGCTTTACAAATCCGTTCATATCCGCGTCGTCATTCCAATATTTTCTTGTATATTCTTTTGCCTCGCGAATAAAGAGATACCGCGATTTGTTCAGCTTTCATCCATTATTTGTTATGTTATATATAACTATTCTACGCGCGCGGAAGGTACCTAATGTAAGGATCTGGGAGTTGTACGTTTTAGTCACGATTTGCCAGGTCGAGCTAGATGATTTACTGCACGTTATTGGGACAGAGGGTATTTGCAGGAGTGCAAGGCAGAATGAATTCTGTTATAATTTACGCACTGCAACAATATACATTTGATTTGCTACAATGTATTTGGCACGTAGTGTAAAATGAAACAATAAATCTTGAAGAAAGTGTCTGCGTGTGTACAATTACCTATTCAGCCACATACACAACGAGACAGAACCTTCTTGTCATGTGTTCATTTGCTTATTTTATTGCATGAAACTTATCCCACATTCTCCAGCTTTCGTATCTATCTGTTCACACATGCACCTATCCACACCGACGCAAAGAGATAGATAGATAGATAGATAGATAGATAGATAGATAGATAGATAGATAGATAGATATAAATAGCATATTCTTTATGTCTTTATGGAATCGACGAACAGAATTCGAATTCCGGCGAGGCTGTTAATATTCACGTCATCCCAATGTCTTTCGGAAACGCACAAATGTCCTATTGCCATATATCTTGAGTAAAAAGGTCACGATATTGTTATTGACAGAGAAGAAGGTTGACGTTCAAGCAGTTGGACCAACCCCTTTTCTGAACAAAACATCTAGCCGAAGCAGTAGCAGTAATCCACCTTTGTTATACACACTATCAACATTAGAAGTCAACCATTGTAAAAGTATCTATCAATCAAAATAACTATGTTTCTCAAAATTATTTCCTACGATTTACATATCTATTGCAGGACCTTAATTACAGCTTCTGGGAAAGAGCGCGTTGTCGGAAGCAAATTGTCGTTGAGTAAGACTTCATGATATTAATTTCACTGTTTAAGAAAATATAAAATAACAGGAATGTCAACTCAAACATATGTAACCACTAAAAATTATAAGTTTATTAATAAGAATATATATATATATATATATATATATATATATATATATATATATATATATATATATACAGTAGAATCAAAACTAAGGGACAAAATTTTAAAACCTAATATTTGTTAGAAATAACAACTGTGAAAAGCTGAAATTTTGACAACTGGTAGTCGTTATCATCCATAATAACATACTAAAATTTGAATCATTTGCAAAGGATAGAAAAAGAATTATAACAATTATTTATTTATTTTCAAATTTGGAACGTCCAAAAGTAAGGGACAAAATTGAGAAAAAACAATGTAAACGGCAAAAAGCAATAAAATACATGTACAATCAATATTTAGTAAATGAGCCCTTGCTCTCAATGACAGCTGCACATCTTCGACTACAAGAACGAAGCAGTTCTTGACAATCCTCGATAATAATTTTAGACCATTCTTCTTGAAGCTTCACCCACAAATCCTCCGTGTTAGTGGGATTTCTTTCCATAACTTTCACTCCTAAGGTCTTCCAAAGATTTTCTATTGGATTTAAGTCAGGACTTTGCGGTGGCCAATCCATAATTTCCAAATCTTGCTCGCTAAGGTAACTCATTACCACCTTTGCCTTGTGACATGGGGCATTATCTTGCATAAAGGTAGCCCTATCGAAACTTGAATTCTTTATGATTGGCACAACATGATCTTGAACAATGTTTTTATAGATCTGCGCGTTTACACGAGTTTAAAACCGGACAAAAGGCGTTGTACCTTGGCTAGAAAACATTCCAAATACCATGACGCTTCCGCCCCCAAACTTGACAGTTTTCTTAGTACACTTTGCACTTAATCTTTCACCAATACGTCTCTTTACATTTTTTTTCCATCATTTCCAAATAAATTAAACTTGCTTTCCTCACTGAAAAATACTTTTGCCCAATTTTCATATGTCCAAATTACATACCTGTTTGCAAACTCTAATCTCTTCTTCTTATTCTTCGAACTAACAAGTGGTTTCTTCCCTGGGGTTCGATTAAACAGCCCTATTTCTTGCTGTCGTCTAGAAACAGTCTATCTTGACACATTAACACATGAGATACTATTCATAACCCTTTTAATTTCTGTGCAAGACTTAAACGGTCCTTTAATGACATACGCTGCATTATTCGATCTTCTCTTGCCGAAGTTTTGCGGGGTCTGCCAGTTTTAAAAGCACTAACTATTTTGCCAGTATCATTGTAGGATTTAACAACCCTGCTTACAACACTCTTGGAACGTTTCACTTTCTCTGAAATCTCTCTAATGGTGTGCTTTTCCTTGTGTAGTTTCACAATAGCTTGTCTCACAGAGTAATCAAGTTTTTGGCGTTTCGCCATGGTGCCGGCTGATGCAACGTTTACAAATGACTAAGTAAGACTTATTCTTTAGAGGAAATCAAAAAATTTGAATATAGCATACTGTTTACATTGTTTTTCTCAATTTTGTCCCTTACTTTTGGACGATCCTATTTTGGAAATAAATAAATAATTGTTATAATTCTTTTTCTATCCTTTGCAAATGATTCAAATTTTAGTATGTTATTATGGATGATAACGACTACCAGTTGTCAAAATTTCAGTTTTTCACAGTTGTTATTTCTAACAAATATTAGGTTTTAAAATTTTGTCCCTTAGTTTTGAACGCTACTGTATATATATTGATATATATCGAGTGTAACATCAAAATTGTCCAAATCGTGTAAAAGAAAATGTGTCCCTTTATTAGATTAAGCTTTGAAATATTGTATATTAGAAATGATTAAAGTTATTTTTCTAGAATTTCTCGAGGTTTTTAAAACACTATTGGACTCTACTTTGAGCAATAAGAATGTATAATTTCTCTCCAAGTTCAACAGAAATCTATCAAAAACGAAAATGGCATGTTCATCATTAATTAATCTTAGTTAAGGATCGGAAGCTCATTAAGGATTGAAATTAAGTTCAAAATTCAATATATATATATATATATATATATATATATATATATATATATTATTCCAGGATCATTTTCCAACTTATTCAAGATTTTCTTCGACCTCTTACATTCTGCCCTGGAATAACAAGGTTCCTTACAAGTTTCACGCACTGCCAGTGAATTTGCCCGGGTACTGCCAGGGAATTTGCCCGGGTACTGCCAGAGAATTTGCCCGGGTACTACCAGGGAATTTGCCCGGGTACTGCCAGTGAATTTGCCCGGGTACTGCCAGGGAATTTGCTCGGGTACTGCCAGTGAATTTGCCCTGGTACTGCCAGGGAATTTGCCCGGGTACTGCCAGTGAATTTGCCCGGGTATTTAATATTTTTTTGTCTAGAATTCATAAGGTTACGTCATTTTCCGAGTATTTAAAATATTATTTTCTAGGATTCATTAGATTACGTCATATCCCCGAGTTCTTAAACGCTATTTTCTAAAATTCATTAGGCGATATCATTTTCACGTGTAATTAAATTACTATTTACTAAGATTCATTATGTTACGTCATTTAGCCGAGTATTTAACTGTAAATAAAACTGGAAGAGCAAACCAAATACAGATTTCCCCTTCTTCTTCATTTTATAATCAAAGAGAGTGAAAATATCTTACAGCTTCTGCATATAATTAAAGCCAAAATAAGCATAAAAACTAGTATTTAAATTAGAATTTTTTTCGTTTTTACCGTTTTTCGTTCATGTTAGTGCCAAATTTTGCCATAATTTAAGTATCATATAATAGTTACTTATTAATGTTAACAAGGATATCTAAAGTTTCTATTTTCATGAAAGCCCGAGGTCTTTTCTTATTCAAGTTTTTCCTTGTTTTGTCTCTGCGCGTCAAGATGACGCTAACATTGTGTAACACGATTTTTGTTCTTATGTGGCAAATGTTTTTTTTATACTATTTGATTATGCCTAAAAAAGTATAAAAAATAGTCTTATATTTCCTTCAATCGGGATTTTGTGACCAGGATAATGATATTACTGAAATTTACCTTCTCCCATTGAATGCGAACATTGTCATTTACGTAAACTAGGAACAAAATGATATTTGCTTAAAATATAGAATTACTTTCCACTAGTATTACCCAAAAGTCAACGATGATTTCTCTGCACTTGGGAAGCTAGAAGTAAACTGAACTGTTTAGCTTACGTTCCTTGTATTCATACTGACATCTATGTTGCCATAGCGTTCTAGAAATTCTTGAAACTTTCAGAAAGTTATCGAAAATGTCCCTGATGCAATTCATAGCTGAATCTGTCGGGAATGAAATGGAAAATAGATTAGTTTCAAAACATCGATGCGCAGATCAGAAAAGCAAAGTTTGAAAGGAACAAAAGTCATTTCCTTTGTTTTCTATACACACGCAATTAGGAAATTATAGTTACTAGCCAAAGACAGAATGGCAAAGGTTTTCTCATATGGTATAAGCAATACAAGCATAAAACATGTCATTTTAATCTATTCATCTCAAATTACCTTAAAGTTCTGAGAAACTGTTTAGACACACACACACACACACACACACACACACACACACACACACATACACACACACACACACACATATATATATATATATATATATATATATATATATATATATATCCACCCTTAAGCATTTCTGATATAAATATTCGTAGCTTAATTCTTTTCATTACGCCGTGTAATTTTTCTCACTATTTTCCTCAATATTCTTCTTTTCTCTGTGTCGAGTCCTTACAGACTCGGCAGATAGCAAAGACTTAAGACTTAAGCGATTTCGCAATTTTCTAACCTTTGTAGCTCTTATTAAATTTTGTCTTGTCGTTATCACTCCTAAAACTTGCACTACCATCCGTATCCTTAAACTCGCTAGGTAGGTAAAGTATTGTTTACCTCTGTCCATCTGTCCATCTTGCATTCAATTTTCCAACCCCTTTTTCCCCATTATGCACCTTAGAAATTTCAACTGTTTCTTCCTGGTGTTAATTATAGCATGCAATTTGTTTACATCTTCTCTAAACCATTGTCGGTGCTCACATGTACGGTCCATGGTATTATCAGCATCATTCTTAGAACTACATTTCTGTTATTTCAGGTCTCTTCTTCATCTGTGAGATGATTGAACCTTTCACAATCCACGTTATGCGATTTTAAATTCAATAACTCGTCTTAATTATTCGTACGCATTACAAATTATTTTCTATTGCTCTTAATTTCTGGCTAAGTTTCTACAAAATAATCATCCTTGTTTTTTGATGTTATGATAATGCGAAGTTTTTTCAGGAGTTTCTGAAAAAGGTTTCTAGTCAATAAATTTAAAGTATCATTATTCAATCATCAAAATAATTTCATTGTTTTCTATTATATTAAAATAAATTTCAAATGTTTTTTTTTTATTTAGCCATTTCAATTTTGATTCACTAATTCTTCCAGGAATTATTCCTTATCTTGAAACTGGAGAAAACAAAGAGGACCGACCTCATTACAATAAAAATGAACTGTCTGGCTAGACTGCTGATTATAACACTAGGGAGAAACATC